GCTTTAACTTCATCTAGCAAAAAAGGTTGTATTATCATATTTGCTAATTTAACTCCAATTGGTGGACTCTAATTTCAATTCCAGTACGATCCAAGTCATCCAATATTTCTCTTTGAGAAGTAATTAGGCAAGCTAAATTGCATGAATTCTTGCGGGTCAAGGCATCAGCAATAATATTTGCCTTACCAGGGTGATAATTGATGGTCATATCATAATCTTTCAGAAGCTCCAACCATCTTCTTTATCATAGATTCAACTCCTTCTGGGTAAATATATATTTCAAACTCTTGTGGTCAGTATATATTTCACAATGTACTCCATATAAATAATGTCTTCAAATCTTGAGAGCAAACACTACTGCTGCTAGCTCAAGATCATGAGTGGGATAGTTTTGCTCATAAGGCTTTAACTGTCTTGAAGCATATGCTATGACTTTTCCATTTTGCATAAGTACACATCCCAATCCTCTACTAGATGCATCACTATAAATAGCAAACTCTGTGTCTCTACTGGGTAATGTAAGTATTGGAGCAGACACTAATCTACTTTTTAGCTCTTGAAAGCTTTTCTCACATTCATCTGACCAAATGAATTTAACTCCTTTCTGAGTAAGACGTGTTAGAGGTGAAGCAATGCGAGAGAATCCTTCCACAAATTTTCTATAGTAACTAGCCATACCAAGAAAGCTACGTATCTCCGTCACCGTAGTCGGTCTATCCCCTTTAACAATAGCTTTTACCTTTCCAGGGTTCACAGAAATCCCTTCCTTAGAGATTACATGCCTAAGAAATGCTACCTCCTCCAACCAGAATTCACATTTCTTAAGTTTCGCATACAGTTGTTCTCTCTTTAATGTGTGCAACACCTGTCTCAAGTGTTCTTCATGTTCTTCTTTGCTTCTTGAGTATATCAGAATATCATCAATAAATACCACAACAAAATGATCCAAGAAAGGTTCAAATACCCTGTTCATAAGATCGATAAATGCCACAGGTGCATTTGTGAGCCCGAATGGTAAAACTAAAAATTCATAATGACCATAACGGGTTCGAAATGCAGTCTTTGGCACATCTTCTGGCTTGATTTTTAATTGATAGTAACCAGAACGGTGATCAATTTTGGAAAATACTTGAGCTCCTTGCAGTTGATCAAATAGATCATCAATTCTTGGTAATGGATACTTGTTTCGAATGGTTACCTTATTCAATTCACGGAAGTCAATACACAATCTCATACTTCCATCTTTCTTCTTCACAAATAACACCGGTGCACCCCAGGGTGACACACTCGGCCGCAATGAAGCCTTTATCTAAAAGTTCTTGCAGTTGTATCTTGAGTTCTCTCAATTCAGCAGGTGCCATTCGATAAGGAGCCTTAGAAAAATAGGACTCGTACCAGGTACTAGGTCAATTGAAAATTCAATTTCTCTATCTGGGGGCATTCCTGGAAGTTCATCTGGAAATATTTCTGGAAATTCTCGGACAATTGGTATTTCTTCCAAGCTTGGTTTTCCATCATCAATCATTTCAACTGATGCCAAATAACCCATACATCCACTTCTCAGTGCTTGATATGCTTTAAGGGCTAAGATGATTTTTAAGGGTTCTTGAATCTTTCCGCCCTCAAAACAAAATTCGGGTTAGCCAGGAAATCTAAACACTACTTTCTTTTCTCGACATAAAATAGAAGCATGATTTAAGGATAACCAATCCATCTCCAATATGATATCGAAATCATGCATTTCTAGCATCATCAATTCTACGGGGAGTTCCTTGTCGAGAATATAAATTTTACCCCTACAACCTTGATTTGTTACTAATATGCCACCTCCAGGTGTACTAACAAGAAATTCTTGTTGTAGGGTATCACAGGATAATTTGTTTCTCTTAACAAACTGTGCAGCAATAAAGAAATGTGATGCACCAGAATCAAATAGTACTCGAGCCTGAACCGACGCAAAAATTAGCGTACCTCTCACCACATCCTGGTTTGCTTCTGCTTCCTTCTCAGTCAAGGAATAAACTCGGGCCTTGGCTTAAGGATACCGGTTCCCACCACTGGACTGGCCAGTCTAAAAGGTATTCCGAGATGATTGTTGTAGGGGATAATTTGCTATTTTGTGATCTTTCTGACCACATCTCAAACAAACTCCAGTATTTCTCCAACAGTTTTTCGCTTCATGCCCCAGCTTATGACAAGCATCACATCTCAAAGTTTTCTAGTTAGGAAATTGCTCCTCTCTGCGTCCAAAATTTTGTTTTTTATTTCTCCAATTTTTATTTCTTCCACCACGATTATCTTGCCATAACCGCCTCTTAGGGTAGGAGTTGCTCGCCTCATTTTTTGGTTTTATATCAATTTTATTTTTCTCAATTAACAAGGTCTTCTTTAACACTTCTCCATATGTAGGGAGTTCAAATGCACTGACCGTCTTTCGCAGGTCCGGTCGAAGCCATTCCTTGAAGCGACGAGCTCTATCTTCCTCATTACCCAACAAGTGAATGGCAAACTTTGATAAATAAGTGAACTCTTCTTCATATTCAACTACCGTCTTGTCACATTGCTCCAATTTTCAAAATTCTTGTTCTTTTTGCTTGTGAACAGTTACATAAAAAATCTTTTTAAATTCCTCCCGTGATATCTTGTATGCATTCTCACCCAACGTCCTGACCTGCATCTGCCACCACCCATAAGCACGGTCCTTTAACATGTATACTGCATAATCAACCTTCTCCTCTTCATGGCATTTCATGTATGTGAAAACCTTCTCCATTTCTGTGATCCAATGCTCAGCAATCATAGGATCAGTTGTTCCCTCAAAACTGGGTGAAGATAGTTTATTGAATTCTCCCATGCCACTTCTTAATTTTGGGTGCTTCTCCTTTTGACCATTTGTCCGATTGTGATCAATTTGATCTTGCTGTCTGGTGACTACAGATGTCACCGCTTGAAACAGGTCCATCAATGCATTGCTATCTATTGAGTTTCCGGAGACGGACGTACGAGCAATTCTAGATCTCATCATATCACCTATCGTCTGATTTAGATCTCTATCTCCGTTAGGAGGGGTTTGCCCATTACCTGAAGTCATATCTTTCTATCATAAAATATTTATATGCATACATATATATACATATGTATACAGACATATATATCACATAATTGATCCATACACTAACACTCATCTACCGCATATATACTATGATAACATGTCCTATAAGGTTTGTAACGTCGAAACCTAAGCTCTGATACCACCTTACTGTCACGCCCCGAAACTACAGCGGAAAATCATAAAATACGGGGTGCGCGACAGTAGCGACCAATGTCTAAGATAAGTCTTATGCATGGGTCAAGCCTGGCACTTCATATCACATAGTTTATTTCAAAATATTCATAAACCTGCTGATGATAGAAGTCAGAGCAACTATATATATAATCGGTACTTACAGCCCACAAGCTCGCCGTTATAAGCATTAAAACAAAACAATTTGTGCTGAGGTAACATCAACATGAAGAGGCTTTCCATATAACGCCTCTCAGTCAAAAGTTCAAACCAAAAGTCGGCTAGTATGAAGCTACGCCGGATCTGAAAAAAATTAAAAACAACGGGTGAGCTAGCGCTCAGTAAGAACATTCTCCACTAGAGTTCCTAGATAACTAACAAAATAGTAATAAGAATAATACTCAGAAATAACAAATTTTAAGTTTTGCATGAGAAATTCAAAGATGACAGAATACGATTCAAATATCATAATATTGTCGTCTTTAAGAAATAATGCAACAATTATATTTTTTTTTCTCAATTGTAACTGAATAAACTGTGAAATTACTTGGAATCAAATCTTTTTTTTTTGTTGAATCAAGGTAAACATTAAGAAGAAAAAGAACTACTAATTTATACAAAATCAGAGAATTATTGTTTTCTCAATTTCACAGTCAATTATCAGAATCTTGAATCAATGTAAACATTAATAAAGAAAAGAAATTACTAAATTGGGTACAAAACCATATGACTATTATTTTCTCAATTTCGCAGTCAATTGTCAAAATCTTAAATCTAATGAGTCGTGTTCTTCGAATTCACGTTCAAATCTCAAAATCATAAATCTATTATTGCCAGGCGATGTGGACTTCAGTGGTAGCTTCTACAGGCTCTAGAGGTGGCTCCCACCACGTTTATATGGTGTAGCACTTAGCTCCGTATAACACTTAGCTCCACATTTCCAGCTAGTAATTCATGAAACACAATAATCACCTCATATGTCACACTAAGGCTACGAATTTTAGCCCGGTAGCAAGGGAATGCGTAAACCACATCAGATAACAGATAATTCCTGGGAATCGAATGCACCTAACACTGCCATAGGCTACTGACCAAATACAGAGGGGCCAAAACAGATTTCAGGAAGGGCCAATACAGAAGGGCCAAATAAAGGTGCATTTACCATATGGCAGGCAGAACTAATCCATAGTGGACTATTTGAGGGTTTGAAAACATCAAGATCACATGTCAAATGAGAACTACTTTGCATATCAGAATTTGCAGATATTTCAAATGAAATTGACAAGGTAAAGCTCCTCATTTCTGTTAAAACAGTTTACGGATGTTTATTTTTTCTTTTATCAGATACTAAGTCACAAAAAATCTTTGAATCCGTTAAACTGTTGAAATACGTTCCAAATACCTCATCAAAACATTCAGATAAAACAATGTCCACGATTATTTGATAATTGCATGAGAGCCAAATTCTTTTCTTTTTTACATTTTATATAAAAATCAAATTTGCTTTTCATATATTGTACAAGACTAACATCGTATTATAGGATAGACCACAACAGAAATAGGTCAAATCTTTACATATATGAAAAGACATTATTTATTTACTATTTTTTTAATCACAAGATAAATCAAATATAAAACTCATGCAATTTCATATTATAAAATACTAGTGAGAAATGAACTCTTCATATTATAAAATACTAGTGAGAAATGAACTCACCTCTGGTGGTCACGACTTTCTCAAACTATTATTTTCCTGAATATCAACCAGAACCTATAATGTAAGATATAGGACTAATTATTAATTCAGGACAAACATATATTATAGGTAAATCAATTCATAATCTAGAGTCTCGATATAATCAATAATAATTAAATTCTGCAGTACATATGAGTTTATTGCTATTTTTAGTAATTTATCAAAATTTTATAACTCATATACTAGCTTCTGGACTTCCTAATAATTTACGATAAGACAGGGGGTTATAGGGAATTTATCAAGTCTAAAAGTTATTGTTTGTTCCTCAGATTGGACTTGTTTACAACTGAACAAAAGACAGGGGCCTAATAAACATTTTTCCAGTCATTTTTCAACCAAAACTCATTTATTAAGGTCTGTTAGAAATTCTCACATGGCTCAGGGACTTAAGGGAATTTTTTTCTTAGTCATATCTTTATTAAATGAGTTAGGTGGGCTTATGTGAAATTATTCTGTAAACCAAGGGTGTAATGACAATTTTCCCTCTCCCCTTATCTAAACCTCCTGATTCCCGACTTCTTCATCTTCCTCCTCTGTTTTTTTTCGGTTTCCCTTTTTTTCCCTTTTCGGTTTTTTTCCTTCTGGTTTCCTTCTCATCTCCCCTCTCTCTCTCTCTTTCTTCCTCTCCCTGTCTCGCCAAAGCCCCAAGATTGCAGCAAGGGATCACCGGCGAACAGAAGTGGTCGGCGGTCAGATCCCCGACGAAACTAGGGTTAGTATTCTCTCTTTCCATACAATCTTAATAGGAATTTTAAAAATTAAACTTGTTCATCATAATCACTATCCTATTAAAAACTAATTAGATAAAAGAAAATAGCAATTTAAACTACCTTAGATTTTTTCTTTTTCCTTCACTGTCTCCTTCCTGTTCTTCTTCTTCTTCTTCTCTTCTTTTTTTTTACCCGAATTTCTCACCCTCTCTTCCTCCCTTAAATACAGTTGGGAGGCGGTAAGATTTTACCGACCCAGTAAGCGGTGGAGAAAATCTCCGCCATAAAATTTTATAATATTTTATTTATTTATTTATTTATTTATTTATTTATTTATTTATTTGTATTTTTTTCTGGCTATTACAATCATATTGTACGAGAACTAGTTAACATGTACTAGCTAAAGTTAATAAGTAGTGGATATAGTTAACAGGTACTGGGTATAGTTAACAAGTAAAGTGTAGTTAACATGTACTGGTTAAAGTTAATATGTACTGGATATAGTTAATAGATACTGACTAAAGTAAACATGTGCTTGACATAGTAATATGTACTGGCTAAAGTTAACATGTACTGGTTATAGTTAACAGATAATAACTGAAGCTAACAAGTATCGAATGTAGTTAACATGTACTAGTTACGACGACCCAAAACATAGCAAATGAGGTCAATGGACAATCATCTCAATTGTGTTCTACTTTAATTTTCTTTCATTTGTATAGATATAAACAATTTCATTATGATTTCATAATGAGATTACAAAGTTCTGATTTTGAATACACAATTGTCTTCACAAGCTCTTTCCCAAACATTTTAATCAAATCCATGCCTAAATCCTCAATCAAATCAATACACAAATTGAAAGCCTTCTCACTCTACTACTTCATGCTTCAAACTCAAACTCAAACCTAATCCAATAGCTTCTCGTCAAAGCCTCATCTTCCTCATTCTCCTCCCTCTTTTCCAACGAACCCATTCTCCCTCAACAGGCTTCACCTCCCTTATCGCCGGCACTACTAACAACAAGGGTGCTAAGGAAATGTCGATGTTAGGTTTTAGCAAGGGGAAGGAGGATAGGAAGGAGAAGAAGGAGCAACGTCGACACGGGTAATTAAGCTAGGGCAGGAGGACGTGTTTTTTTATGATGGAGAGAGCAGGAGGAGAGGAGAGGAGCAGATGAAAGAGAAGCATCCATGAATTGGGTTAGGAGAAAGAGAAGGAGAGGACGAGAGACTTTGATGATGGAGAGAGTAGGAGAAGAGGAGAGGAAGGAGAAACATCCATGAATTAGGTTAGGAGAAAGAGAAGAAGAGGAGGAGATGAGGTAGGAGTAGCAATGAAGTGGGTAAGGAGAGAAAGGAGAAGAGGAGGGAGGAGCAGATGAGATTTTTAGTAGGTAGAGAGGGTAAAATTGAAAACTAAGGTAAAATACAATATTTGGGGCTAATATACATTAGAAATAATGCGGGGGACTGGGGCACATCAAGTTTTTTTTTAGGCCTAGACAAAAAAAATTCTATTTACACGCACGCACGCACACACGCGCGCGCGCGCACACACACACATATATATATACATACATACTATACATATATGTATATATGTGTGTATATATATATACATACATACATATGATATATATATACACATATGTGTATATATACACACACACACACATATATGTATATATATAGATATATATACATATACATATACATATACATATACATATACATGCATAGAGAGATAGAGCAATTCTTATGTCAACTTAAGTGGATGGTCCACCAAAGTTTCTATCCACTCATGTTGCCTAGGGATCCTTGCATGATATGAAGAGTCTTTTTATATATATATAAATGAGTGGATAGAAACTTTTGTGGACAAAGGTTTGGTGTCCACTTAAGTTGACATAAGATATATATATAGAGCAACAATACACACACACAAACACACATGTATATATATGTATATATATACATACATATATGTATATGTATATGTATGTGTGTGTGTGTGTATGTATGTATAGAAATATGGGTATGCTTGGTACCAAGCACAAATTTTGTGCTTGGTAGTGATGTGGCATAATACCCTCACCTCATTCAAATGAGGGACCACATTCACATTAGTTGAGGAGTACATGAGGATATGCATAAGTATATGTACATGTATATGTATATACATACATATATGTATATTGTTTGCGGGAAAATATCTTTCTTCGCAATCTCTTTCTAACTGACTTAGAAAAAAGAAATTATAATCTTCTTGATCGGTTTCCCGATTTACAAAAGAGAGAAGGATGGATCCCCCTCTTTGTTTAAGGTTGGGTTCTTCTTGGTGTCGATGAGAGCTTGAGTCTGGTATCCCGTTGACGATCCGAGCACTTTGCTTCGTGAAACTTCGGTCTTCGCTTTTGATTCTGACGTCGGGAAGAACTTGCTAATCACGTTTTGAACTCTGGCCGAGTTGGGAACTCTTAGAAAGAGTTAATTTCAACAAAAGAAATATGATCCCTTAAGCCAAAAAGCCGATCTCTTGATCTTTAAAATTCAAAGTAAATAAAATTCAAGATCCTAATCCCCGTCAAGCTAAAATGTCAGCTATTTATAGAACTTTAGGGGTGTAACCGACCCCATAAATCTCTCTATAGTAGGGGCTTAATGGCCCTCATTATGTGAAAAATGGTTTTGAACCGTTCAAATAGTGGTTGAAACAGTCAAGAGCGAGATTCGCGTTCTGACGTGAGCCTCGCGTTCGGCTCTATGAAACGCGGGGGTGACCCTCGCGTTTGAAGTTTGGAATGCGAGGGTGGACCCTCGCGTTTCGCCTTGAAAATGTCATCAATTGTAATCTCTTCTTCAAATTTTGCAAAGATCGTCATCTTGTTATCCTTGCACTTGACTCTTGGAAATGTGAGAATCGTTAATTTGTAACTCTTCCTTAATTTTGCATTGAGAAACGCAGGGGTGATCCTCGCGTTTAATGTTTGGAATACGAGGGTGGACCCTCGCGTCTGAAGTTATAACGCAGGGGTGACCCTCGCGTTTTACTTTGGAGCACGGGTGGACCCTCGCGTCTTGCTTTTGAAACACGGGGGTGACCCTCGCGTTTAGCTTTTGGAACGCGGGGGTGGACTCTCTCGTTTTTGCCTTAGTCATAGTTATGACCCCCCCCTTAGCCTATTATTTGTCGTGGCTCTTCTAATTTCCTTCTTGTGTGCTATTTAGCATTTCAATAGGTCTTTTAGAAGCACAACGGACATTCCTAATCATTCTTCCGCTAAGCGATGATCTTTTTGAATCTTGTGTATTGACTGCTGCTTTAGCGGGCCTTCATACAGTTTGCTCTGGAGTCTGGGATTCACAAATTAGTATATGCATTACTTCTTGTGTATAGTAACTAGCATAAACTTTAGTTAGAGGCCCAACACTAGGTCAAAACTTTCTATGCTATAAGGAGTAGCTATTTCAGCAAACAGCTTTTAAGAAAGATAAAAGAGCAGGAGTTCTTAAGGTCGAAGCGACGATATTAGAATCCCTCAATGTTGTCTATATCGAGCAGCAATCATGATGACTAAACTGTAGTAATTTTTAGACAGACTACATGTGTGTGTGTGCGCGCACGCGTGTATGTATGTATATGTATATGTATATGTATATGTATATGTATATGTATATGAGAAAAATGGGTATGTTTGGTACCAAGCATAAAAAAATTATGCTTGGTAGTGAGGTGACATAATCTCCTTCACTCATTCAAATGGTTGCATATCCCCATGCACTCCTCAACCCATGTGAATGTGGTCCCCCATTTGAATGAGTGGAGGGGATTGTCTCACCTCACTACCAAGCACAAATTTTGTGCTTGGTACCAAGCATACCCTTATTTCTCTCTCTCTCTCTCTCTCTTATATATATATATATATATATATATATATATATATATATATATATATATAACTCTTGCCCTAGAATCTCGACTTCTTCGTCTCTTGAATCCTAGTGACTCCACAAAGTTCCATTGATTTTCCATGGCTGCTCAGGCTTCCATCGTTGGTCATAACAGAGAAAAGATTAATCTTCTCTAGCTAATCTACTCGAAGATGTGTGACTAAGAGCTTGAGATGTATTACGAGATCTACAACCTACCCAAGGACTTTACTCTGTTGGTGCCGAGTGAGGATGAGTCTATGTACCACCATGGTCAAAACAAGTCACTTCTATACATCACCCATCTATAGTATGGGCTCAGGCTACCACTTCATCCTTTTATTAGGGATGTGTGCATTGCTTTGGGCGTGTCCCCTTCGCAAAGTATAGTGACATTGTAAAGGTTATCAGCGGTAAACCGAAGCTGCAAGCATTAGTTGTGGATTTTTTGATCAAGACCTGGCCTATAGCCTTTTTATAATAAAAAGGCAGCATTTTAATTAAAAAAAAGAACCATAGTCCAAGCATGGTAAATACCTTCTTGCAGAACGGAAGTTTGAATCTGCATGCTACTTTGAGAAATCAGGAAGCAACTTAAGAAAACTTTGAAAATGTCCATCCTTTGGGTGCAAATCTACCAACATAGACAATGTAGATGCCTCAAGGGGAAACTTTAGCTCTTCCATCTTATGTAGAAACTCCTTGGCTTTTATTATATCACCTCTCTCGAGCAAACTCCGAACAACCACATTAAGCAAAATAGAATTTGGTGAGCAACCACATTTTCCCATTGACAGAAACAAATCATCAGCTTCGTTCAAGAAGCCCTTTTTTATAAGGCCTTGCATCATAATCGTATATGTCACAACATTCGGAACCAATTTCTTAGACAGCATATCACTGAAAAGATCCTTGGCCGCTTGAGTTCTACCCACTCTGAACATCCCACTGATCATGATGTTGAAGGCCTCAACATCGATGGTATACTTTTGGCTGACCATACGTTGAAATAAATCTATTGCTTCATCAATGCATTTGTTTTTACATAGCCCATTCAAGATTACACGGTATGTACTAATATCTCGAGCTACCTTGTCACGAATCATCTTATCATGCATTTTTCTTGCATCACTGACTCTTCCAGCTTGATATAATCCTGTAAGCATGGTGTGGTAGATGACATTCGTCTGCTTCAGTCCCTTTTTAGGCATCTCCTCGAAGATCTTTAAAGCCCTGTCAATCCTGTCAGATTTACAATAGGAGTTGATCAGAATTGAATACGTGAATGCGGTAGGTTTATAACCTTTTGCAAGCATGAGATTGAAAACCTTCAATGCTTCATCCATTTCACCTACTAGACAATATCCATCCATAAGAGTGCTGTATGTAATCGTGTTAGGCTCTACACCTCTCTGAACCATAACATTCAACAATCTACGAGCTTCCATAACCTTTCCTTCCTTACACAGAGCATCGATCACTGTATTGTATGTCACATCATTTTGATGGAATCCTCGATCACTCATTTCAGAAAGTAGTCTCAATGTATCATCCCATTTCCCTAGTCTGCAAAATCCACTCACCAAAATGTTATATGTGATTACATCCGGATTGACTCCTTTTTCAACCATTTCAAGGAGTATAATCTCCGCATCTTCCATTCTTCCAGCCTTACAAAGCCCATCCAACAATGTGCTGTATGAAACAATGTTGGGCTGCTCTCCTGCCCGTTGCATTTTTCTGAATAAGTGCATAGCCTCATCGATTCTATTTGTCTTCTTATAGCAATCAATCATGATATTGTAAGTGTAAACATTGAAAGCTAAACCATCCTTTTGTATGGAGTCTAGGATTCTTGATACCTCCTCGAAGCGGCCTTCTTTACAGTAGCCATTTAACAAAGTGTTGTACGAAAATGTATTAGGTTTTACACCTCTTTCAGCCATCATATTTAGCAGTTTGTGCGCTTCACAAGTATTTCCCTGCTTGCAAAGTGAATCCATCAGGGAGCTGAAGGTTATAACATCCGGAGAGAGACCCCGATCCACCATCTCTTTTAAGACTCTCATGGCTTCTTTCCATTGCCCTCGAATAGAATGACCTCCGATGATGCAATTGTAGGTGACAACATCAGGAGTGATTCCTGAAGAAATCATCTCCTCATAGATCTTAGCAGCATTATCCATCGCCCCTCGTTTGCAAAGGGCGGCGATGATTGTGCTGTAGGTGACAACATTGGGAGTGATTCCTGCAGAAATCATCGCCTCATAAATAATGGTAGCATTATCCATCGCCCCTTGTTTGCAAAAGGCGTCGATAATTGTGTTGTAGGTGACAACATTGGGAGTGATTCCTGATGAAATCATTTCCTCATAAACCTTGGTCGCATTATGCATCACCCCTTGTTTGCAATGTGCATCAATAATCGTATTGTAGGTGACCGCGTTAGGCTCCACTTCTCCTTCTATCTTCATCTTCTTAAGGAGCTCAATTGCTAAGCTCGTGTTTCCTAGACTACACAGCCCTTTGATGATGGTATTATGTGTAACCACATTGGGCTTGCATCCCCACTGCGGCATTCTATCGAGCAGCCGGGCTGCATCATCAACCTTGTTCTGCTTACAGAGACCATCGATGAGAGAGCTGAAAATTACGACATCGCCATACCAGCCTCGTTTCATCATGGAACCCAAGAAGCCGAAACCAAGATCGACACGGTTGATGCTGCTGCAACAGCCGAATCGCCATACCAGCCTCGTTTCATCATGGAACCCAAGAAGCCGAAACCAAGATCGACACGGCCGATGAGGACGCCGTAGGTGTATCCATCAGGAGAAATGCCTCCGACCCGGTTCATCTTATTGTGTAGAGAGATTACAAGAGCTGGGTTTTTCTGATGGCGGGTCTTCTTCATATTTCTGAGGATTGAATTGAGCAGGAGGTTGAATGAGTAAACCGGCGGTTTGGGATCGGCTTCGAGCAATTGATCGAACAGGACCAATGCCTCCTCGGTCTCGAGATGATTCTGCGGTTGGCATCGTTGCTTGACGAGGTCCTGCAATCTCCTTCTCGTGTTGTTGCTGCGAGGAGAAGGGGATGGGCCATGGCTGCTGCCACTGATTTTAGGGCTGGTGGATTTTGAGAGGAGTTCGGGTGCAAAGGAGGTCGCCTTCATTTTTCAGCTGAGGGGTTCCGAGTTAGTGGGGGTATATTATTATGACTACAATGGATGGAAGTTTAGATATCTGGCCAGAGAAATCACCCTTTTGACAAGCCAAGCATTCGCATCAGCTGATCGAATTTGATCTTTGGTCCGAAGCTGCAGACCCCATGTTGAGAATAGAATGCACAAAGGTTGAGCCCCCTGTTTGACATAAATGCTTTGTTCTAAAGAACAACAAAGAAAACCGAGTTTCATGCTTTATATATGCAAACAGACGGTAGGAGTACCGTGGCTAATTGGAATCCCAATGTTATATCAGCAGCGGACGAGAACAGAAGCAATATGAAATTTTGTATCCTTCAGTTCACACCCGCTGCGACTTGCACATACTCATGCAACAACTTAAGGTGCTCAATACACCCGTTGGCTCGCAGGTGACACAAATGTGCTGCCAACAGAAGTTCGGTCGTTTCAATGTGTCTTACTTACGAAATCCTTGAACGGGAGACTCGAACGCACATGGTAAGGAATTGAGTCAACTTAAAAGACCTTAAATTGGAAATTACAGGTTTTTATGCATTTCCGTTTAAGTACCTATTGAGTCGACAAACTTTTAGCGACGTGTCTTCTATCAGCTTTCATGTCCCATTTGTCTGCAGCTGTTTGAGTCTTGAATAACAAAGACTGCGTTTTAATTCATGTGTGTTATCTAAGATACCCAAAGGATTCGAATAAATTTATTATAAAATGGGTAATTTCCCATATATATTTTATCCATGAGCAAACTCGCTAAGCAGGTTACACTACTCATTGCATGATGCAACAAAGCTAATCCTACTATATATGAACTTAGTTTAACTGACCGTAAGTTGTTTTCGCTAAAAGTTGAGAATATAAAACCCTCATTTTGAAAATGTTCAAACTTAAACAAGACGTACAGTTCACCCAGAGAAATAAGCTATGTAGAGTATCCAATACTACTTTGTGTCAAGTTTACATCCTTGCCTGTACAAAATACTCAAACGGCATTCTGAAATTCCCAGATTATATTAAATAAGAAGCAGTTTATGCCCCAAGCAAATCTTGACTTTCTGTCAAACAAGGTTCACAAGGAAAATTTGACAGGTTCGATCGGGGACCCGTGCGAATTTCCAGCTAAAAAAGTTTCACAAGAAAAAATTGGCAAAGAGAAAGACCTGAATAAAGATGGGAGCAACTGAAACTATTATTGTCAGTGCTCAAAGGAGTTTAGTAAATTCTTTCAAACCTCTCATTCACCATAATGACAATATAATTTGTAAAAAAAAGGGGTAAAAATCAATAGGATAAGCTAAAAAAGGAAACTGTAGCCTGACCCTCTCAACTAGCTGACTGCTAGTTCCTTGAACTAGTCTAAGCAAAAATAAATTTAAAAAATTTAAAAATTGTCTTAAATTTCTAAAATAGGGATAAAAGATATACAAGGCATTGCTTAAGAGTTGAGCAGACATATCATACAAACAAATCACTGGAAGAAATACCTAAACCATCAAATTAAAGCTTCAGAAGAAGGTTTTGCTTACTTGAGCACTTGCTCCGGGCAAGAAAATGGATTATAATTTCAGCAACCATAAGTTTATTCTCATCCTTGCATAATTTCCAATTATTTATTTGGTTTTATGAAGCCCAAATCCAGATGAATGCTTTTTTCCCCATTTTTGTTGGTTTCACAAATTGCAAATCAGCATTAACGATGCTGAATACCAACAATTATGGCAAACAATAATACATGTGAAAACAATTTCCATCCAGGAAGACACATTTTATTTAGGAAACATATATGTTCTGTTAAGAAAGTACTAGAGACAGGAGATACATGACATTTAACATGCAAAGAAAAGTACAACTCATGATGAAGATCTACTGTTTCTTGACTTACAATTATCTAAACCAACTGATGATTATATCCTTGCTCTAAGGGCCCTGGACTGAGATCATGTAGCCAAAATGTGAAGCTTGACATTCCATCCTAACACATGTTTCACACTCTATCGACTATTCAATTGAACTCAAAACATATGTCGATTTTAGGATTTCTTTTAACCCACAGTTGCATTGCCAACAATAGATGACCCCTCATTCACCTACATAAAAAGGAATATGTGAAGGTAATGATTAAGAAATTCCCTGTCATTACAAGCACTCAGCCCAAGTATAACTTAGTAGTATTATTCATTAAAATTGGTAGAGGTGCACACATAATGATTGAAAATAAAATTCCAAATTTAGAGAAAAGAACAAATTAAAAGAAAACTGACTCCCAACCAACCACAACAAAGAATCTAAGCTAGAGTTAAATTCTTAGCAATGAGATTATAGTGAGAGGTATTATGCCACAAATTCTAGAAAGCAAGTTGGCAATTAGATAACCTATTTTATTTGTATTCAATCGAAGCCCATGCAACTAAGTAAGAACTCTCTAGAATTCTTCTATCCCATTATGATCCATAGGAAATTGGCATGATAAATCCAAAAGGCAGTGAGAAGAAAACTCATTATTATTATTGACGGTTCTCCTAGATTCCAGTGAAAACAGCAAGTTCTATTTTTGATGTTTTTAGTAGTTAACAATTGGAAATTAAAGAATGTGGCCAAGTTAACATGACTAATCATTATAGAGTATAGGATGGCAAGACTGATTGATGAGCTGAAGTACTTCACAGAAATCAGATTAGTGAAAATACTACTACAAGAAGGAAATTACCGGATGAAGAGGGAGACCAGTAGAAGATGGTACTTCTGTGTTAGGCCTTGGAAATGCTGAAGCTGAAAGAGACAGCGGATTTGAGGAACTAAATAAGGATCCAGTTTGAACACCATGCTGTCCTCCAGGAGACAATAAAGGGTTTGCTGTTGGCTGCATCAAAGATAAAACGAGGGTTCTTAGATATTAGTCTCCCAAATCTTTGAAATTGTCATAAGTCCCTCAAATCCTAGGGGGTCCAGAAAATCCCTTAATGACCAAAAGGCCCTCATCTTATGTTTTCCCTGCAAAACCCATGGGTTTTAAAAAAACATACGGTGAGGGGCATGTCGGTCTTTGATGGATCAATTTGCAAGACCCCTCAGAATTTGAGGAACCTGCAAGCAATTTCAAAGATTTGAGGAAGCAATATAGAATGATCTTTTAAAACCTCAAATCCTAAAGTTTTTCAGACTACAAGAACTAGAATGCATTGTACTTACCGGATAAGGACTCCAACCCTGAACTGAAACAACCCCAGTAGATATCAGCACTGAACCATAAGGTGGCTGGATGAAAGGAGCTGGTAACACTGTTGGCTCGGGATGATGGAACTTGCAAGTCAAGCCAAATTTACACTTGCCTGTTCTCATATAATAAGCACATTCCCTCTCACCCTACAATTTCAGAACCAAAATAAAATTGGTAAACATGAAAAAAAATTATCAGAAGTGATGTAGAAAAAAGATCAAACCAGACGAAGAGGGTATCCATAAAAATTTAAGGGGACAGTGCGAGCAGACCCAGCTCCTTGTCTTGGATGATCATACTTGCATGAGCTACCATACTTGCAAATGCCAGTCTTGAGGAAGTACTACATATATCATAGAATGAACGTAATCAAACTATGAAGGGAAAGAAAGAACAAGGGCACATTCTAAAGTCTAAACAATGTATGATGAAAATAAAAATAACTGATTTTTCTTAGAAGTCTAAACAAATGTCGTCAACTACCATGACACAACAAGGAATACCATCAAACAGATAATACTTTAACCACAACAAAATGGAAAAACAGCACATACTTTCAACCTTCGGGAATCTAATAGCTTGAATGAGTTGCGATCAAAGTTCTAGTAATTAATACGAAAAAAATGCTAGTACTTAGTAAACACCATAACAATGATAACCAGTATGAAATTTGAATTATGGGTACAATCAATCAGTCTATATATGCTAATAATCACAGAAGTACTAATTCCTAGGCACTTATACAATAAATCAATATAACACTTCAAATCATCATGTTCACCTTAGAAATAACAATTAGACTTTAGAAGACAACTATTCCATGACAAGAATTTTACAATAAGATTTAGCCTTATTTAAACAAAAAAAAAACTACTATACAATAATTCATGATATTGTGTAACTTTTCCACTCGTTGACAGATTCTAATAAGGTATAAACCTCTGAAAGTCCAGTAAACATCATAATTGATCATAACGAAAAAGAAAAAGAAATTGACAAAGCGGAAATAACTATCTACATAAACTAGATCAAATAACAACCTTTAATCCTTCATCTTTAACAAACCAAATATTATCAGAATTAATAGACCAATGTACATCAATACCTTGCATGCAGGCTGACCAACACGCTCCGGATAATCCCCACTACCCATCCTTCCACCTCCAAATACCTGCCGGAAATCAACACAAACCTGCACACCAAAGATTATTGTAAACACAAGGACCTAATCACAAAAACCCCTAATCGAAAGGGTTTTTTTTAAGATTGGTCCCTTAAATCTGTAATATTTTGTATCAGTCCCTCAAATCTTTTAAATTGATTTTTAATCCCTCAAGTCCTATTGATTATTTCAACTTAATCCCTTGATTAATCCTTTATCTTTTGGCTGTAAAATAGGTTAGGGTGGAAGGGAATTAATGGATTTAGATCTTAAACGGATTCAGGTTTGGAATAACTTAATCAAAGGGGTATAACTGTAAACCCATGACAAAAACTTAATTAAGCTAAATGAAATATTCCCCCAAATCAAACTGCACGGACTGATTTGAAACAGCTAATAGTTCTTTTGGGACTAATTAACAATTTCAATGACTCGAGGAACTAATTTCAAAATATCAAGGATTTAATTAACAATATCAAAAAAAAGCCATTAAACAAGCCTAAAAAAGATCCCAACTTCAGCATTGATCTAAATTCTAGAGAAATTCAGAGATCATACCGAGCGATCACGAGGATGATGGAATCGACATCGATCGCCATACCCACAATAGCCTGTACGCATATAGTAACTACAATTTGGCTCATACGGCCGCTTCGGGTACCCTGGACTAATCGGTTCCAATCGCATCTGCCACATTGATTCTGTAAACAATGCAAATGAAATCAGTAACTCGGAACCCTAGAATTTTCTTTCTTTCTTTCTTTTTTAATAAAAACTCATCACCTTCAAGTCCAGTCTCTGAATCCATGGCGGGTTAGTAAAGAAGCTTGTAGACGGAGATCGATGGAGAAGATGAGAATGAAGAAGTGAGAACTTAAAGCTCTCTCTTTTTCGTTCTCCGATTTGAAAGGTTTGATTTTTTATTTTATTTTTTTGCTGATGTTTTTCTGGGGGCTTTGCCGTTGGGTCGTTTATATACCCGCCAAAGCTGAGGTGAAAGAGTAAACTATGGTTGTTTTACATATGTACCCTCAACTTAATTATTTTTGCAAATTTATCCAAAAATCTGGATATGTGCTAATTTACGCTCGAACTCAGTTAAATTAGCAAATATCTTGATATTTTTAGAGGCTGAAAATGTATAATATGATTTGCTGGAGTATATATTGAAAATGTATAATATGATTTGCTGAAAATGTATAATATGATTTACGCTCGAACTCAGTTAAATTAGCAAATATCTTCAAATTTTCCAAGTCAAGGTTTATTGCATCATTGTCCCTTTTCAGGATGTTAGTATTATCTGAAGAATTTTTGTGTTTTTGCATACACAACCCTTTAAAACTGTAAATCCTTTGAATTATGAAATGAACAAACTAAATATGCTTAGCGAAAAGGTATATTGAAATGAAGATATTGCCTTCCTTGTGGTAACTTCACTACATATCTCATACCAAGTTAACTGCAGATAAAAATACCGCTAACGGTTTCTCTTACTACATAAAAAGATAAGCAGGTGCTTGTTAGGTTGTCGCAATGCAGCTCTTGCAATTACTCTCATTTGTTTGATTGACTGTTTATATTAACACGCAAGAAAGGTTTGTTAAGCAAACGACAGCTCTATGGTTTTGGCAGTGCATAGACTCCACCTACCATTTCTGGCACATAACTTTCCACGTGTCTCTGCTCCATGTATGCTCCATGCACGGCCCCAGATGTTGAACATGGTTCTGATCTATTTGCACGTGTAACCTACACACAACCTACTGTTTTAATGAATTAAATCAACATTAGAATAAGAAAACTCATTAATCAATCATCGAACCTTATACTACATCTAACTTGACAACATTCTCCACCTCTATCATCTAGAATGCTTTTTTTAGCTTGTTTGCTTGATAATATAATCCAGTTACACTTATCGAGAACTTATCTTCACCCTTTCTTGAAAGTACAAATATTTTGGTGTAAATTACACTTATCAGCAAAAACGTTACAAGAAAACACTTTTTATAAAATGAGAGGGTATATATGCAAAATAGCCAGAACGGGCCTCACAAATCAGTAATTGTAAGAAAGTTTGACGTATTATCGTCAACGACTATTTGCGCCTCCGCTCTGCGTCAACAGAACACGTGCTCATTTTTAGAGCGATGGAAAAATTAGTTGATAGATTACAATTTATAATTTGTTGTATGATTGAGGGTTGTGATTTGCTTCCAATGAAAAATAAGAACACATGCAGTACAAGGGAGATGTTGGAGATACATAAATTGCAATTGTCTACTAAAAATAAAACTGTAATATTTAAAGAGATTGATAATTATCTTTCCCACTGCTTACAGAAGCAGAGAGGATCCAATTTCTTGTTTGGAAATCTTTTTCCATAAATTATCTTCCAAGTCGAAGCGATTATCATGATGCATTCAAAGTTGCAGATAATAATCAACTTTGTCCTGTTATTGTTAAAAGTTTTAACATCAAATGGATGAAATTAATTTATTTCTCTTAGCGTGAAGAGGAAAGAAAATAATGTGCTCTTTCATTATCTTTTGTTTCTACCCACCGAACCTTCATTCTTTTTGTCCAAAGTTTTGGCTTAAGCTAGTGAAGGGTTGTGGGCAGGTAGGCTTGATCCAAAAGAGTAAAACTGATATAAGGGAGAGCAATGAAGATGGAAATTTGTGACGAGCCGAGGAACATGTTCGAATTATATTGGAAGTGGGGGGAGTTAAAGGGTAAATAAACAGTAAGTCAAGGTAGTTCCCTTCCGCACGTTTTTTTGGATGGAGTCGAACGGCGTGCGTATCAATACTCTATTATTTGTGTGTGTGTGGGGGGTGAAATCATTTGTGTTTGTGGTGGTGGTGTGGTTGTGGTGGTTAGTGGGTGGGGGGTGGGGGGTGGGAGGTGCTATATCCAAACGGTGTGGTTATCTGGTCGTATAGTCTCCTCTACCTCCTCCCTTGTTCCCCTCAATCCAAACAATGTGTTACAGACACGTCAAATACTTAATCGAGACAATCAGTAACCTGCAGCCTTCTTGATGAAATGAAAGATCAACTCCCCCAAATGTTTTCAATAGCGTAACTACCTAGATCCTAATGAAAAGGGACAAAAGAGAAGAGAAACAAAGCAAATACGTAATTCAAAATAAACCACTTCAATCATACTGTGTTTTTTCCTATGAAGCGTAAGCTACATGAAGTAACAAAGGTAACAATCTACAAATGAAAAAACAATAAGAATGACCTGGATCCTATCAACTATTGTAGCGAAAGTATCATAGCCTGTGACTGGTCTTAGAACTACCAAGCTGGTTGTCAGTTCGCCACCTGACATTTCTTCTGTCTTCCTTCCACGCATTCAGCTGGTAAAATTAAAGCACCAAGCTTTAAAGGACAGCAGAAAACATCACCAGCACAATGAAGCGTATCCAATTAACAACAATTAGAAGATAGCATGAAAATACCCCCAAAAAAATCCTAACATTTACAGACCTCTTGTGGCCTTTTCTTTTGAAAGACCAGGCCCTAACAATTGAGGCCTATCCAATTGAAAGAAAATCCATAAATGATTCCATCAGCCAAACAGAATAAATTGGAGGCTGTGGATTCGCTCGTTATGCAAACAGAAGATTCAACGACATCAGAGAGATCCAATCGCATCCAAAAAGTTACTTCATGGCAAACCGAGCAAGAACCTGAACACATCACTCAGAGAAACAATGCCTTCAACTCTCTTGCTTCCAGCTTCAACAATGATTACACGACGAACCCCTGAAGCATAGAACCAGTTAGAGCCCAGATTAGAGCACCTAGAGGAAGAACAAACCAGCCTATGGTAGCATTTAGGATTAGTTACATTCAGGTACGCTGAGCTATGGTGTAATTACACAGGTAACCTCGGGTCTGCATATCTACTGGGGTAAACATGAGATTACTAATTGTATCTACACAGGTAACCCTACGAAGGAAAAACAGGTCAGCCATGTAATTTAATCTCAGGGTCATCCAATACACAGACTCTAGGGTCATGTGTGTAATTAGATCATACCTCAGGGTACATTGGTAGAATACATGTACATAGATTGAGACTCCATGGTCACCCGTGTAATTTAATCTCAAGGTTATCCAGTACACAGATTCTAGGGTCATCTGTGTAATTAGATCATACCCTAAGCGCCAGGGCACATTGGATGTAACTAATCCTAGAATATATGTACCTGGATTGAGACTCCAGGGTCACCTATGTAATTTAATCTCAGGGTTACACAATTCACAGACTCTAGGGTCACCTGTGTAATTAGATCACACCTTAGGGTACATTAGATGTAAGTAATTCTACAATATATGTACCTGGATTTGCCAATCGTTCGATAACTTTCAGCAAGTGATCGGTGCGAAGACACATTTGGCATCTCTGCCCATCAAAAAACCCATTTGGAGAACTTGAATCTTGCCTAAGCTGAATAGCCTAAAAATTCAGCAATAAAGAAGACATGACCTCAGAAACTGAAATAATTGCTGTGAGAACAAAATTGTAGCCGATAAAGAAATTTACAATACATTTCACTGATAGAGGCAAAACAAAATAAAAGAAGAAAATCACCCATGGTGATAAGGGGATGGAGTTCCCATGACTAATACAGATAGAGATCTTTTTTTCAGTCTTTTTATAGAACTATCAAGTTTTCATATAACCACCATGGGAACATTACCACACTTATCTTAATTTTCTGCCTCCATTATTCCTATTCATAACACAGTTTCAACACTTGCCTAGCAACCTTCAAGGGAGAAAATTATGTATCATTGTATAGATCACCTCCACCAGTGAAATTTCCAATTTACCGGATAGAATACCACCAGCTATTAGCAATTTAAAATTTATAGAAGCTTCATATATCATATTCAAATTGCTTACAGATATTATATTGGGATTGCAGAAGTGCACATACTGATGCTTTAGAGGAATAGAGGTACTCACAGGTAAATCAATAAAATTCCTCTAACAATTGTAATATTACAAAGTCTTTGAGGGCCAAGAATTCTCGAACTTTGCCAAAATAAGAGACACCACTTTTGCAGTTATACAACATGTCAGCAGTTACAAGCCCATTACAAGCAAGCCTTGGTTTGCATGAGCTTAAATTGCAGGATGATAAAGGTAGGATTTGCTATCCTAAACTAGCCCTCTAGGTGTTGTCATAGGCCCTTGTCATGTCCATAACTTCCTTATAACAGAAGTTCTGGAAATTATTAGTGAGTTGACAGACCAGTTGCTAAATTTAATATAATAAAAGAGATAAAGTTTAAAAAAATAAAAAAAATTATAAGGATATATGTCCTTATAATGCACATATATCTATGACTAATACCAACCGAATGGGGCATAAGAACTGGTTCAAGGACAAATTGCATTTAAAGGGGTGTTAGTCAATCAGGTTTTCTATCTTCTTGAGAGCTTTTCATGGAAACAAATTCAGGGCATCACTTCATCAGTGAAGTAGAGTCTGTATGGGGTTTTTCGCTTGGGTGTTTGTTGTGGAAAAAGAGTTGAATCACATGCTAATCCTTCTCCATGTAATTCTATTTTCGGCTCAAGCACGCTTTTGATCTTCTTGGAAGCTTTTGAGTAGTTAGTGAAGTGGAATTTGGTTCGGTTTCACTTCACCTGCAGTGTTTCTTATGGAAAATTGGAAGAAAAGATCTGAATCCCCATCAATCCTTCTCCACATAATTTTCAGCTCAAGCATGTTTTTGAACTTGTTGGAAACCTTTCATGAAAAATAAATTTAAGGTATTAGACAAGTAGAATTTCGATTAGGATATTCAATTGTTTCTTTTTGGGTGGTTTTTTTTGGGGGGCGGGGTGTAAGAAGAAATTAGAGGAAAAGAGCTGAATCCCTTGTCAACCCTTCTCTATAATATCCGTCTCCATCAGCTCAACCTTTGTCTATTTATTTCCTAAAATTTCATGGATACAGTTGCCATCCCTCGCCCATTGCACACTTCTTTTTGTCAGTCTTGCAGCAATATCACACCCGTAGGAATACTGTTACCCTTCTCCAGCATTGTTCTTGCTCTGAATGCACCGCCCTTCGTTGCTCATGTTGTTATGCCTCTTGCACGTAGTCCTTCGTTTCACACCATGTCCGCCTAATGTCTGTATGTTTCACCTAAGTGGTTGATTATTATGTCATGCTATATAATTTTCCCTTCAGGAGCATTAACCTATGTCAAACATTACGCCATGTCATTTAAGTATGTGGAACACTTTCCCTTTGTGAATGTATTGTTTATCAAATCAACCGAAAGTATAACCATTAGGTCTAGATGCTAAGGTATTATGTATCTATAATGATAGATAATTGTGTATTCTGTTTCAGTCTTTCGGATAAACAATCTCCAATTATAATGGTATTTGAAAGCTTAGCAGCTACTGTCGGTTGTCAGGCCCATGGCCTTGTTCCACCAAAAGATGGAAGAAATCTAGGCTCCAGGGCATGATTTAAATGTTAGTAAGTCTAATTATGTATGCAAATCAAAACTTAACCCTGTTGATTCAATTTAATCCTTGCACTGATCATGATGATGACGATGGTGATGATGATTTGACCAGCGTTGGGAACATTTCTTTATGTTCATAGATGGTTTTGGGATTTTTCTGATATTGTCCACAGACGGTGTGCCGACTACTTTTTGTAATGACATATGCTGGGTTTTCACTGATGTATTACAAACATATCAACACTATTTTTATTTGTTTCAAAAAGTTTAAAGACAACATTTTATTAATCAAATTCAAATGTTAGTAAGGTGATATCATAAATATTAATTTTATAAAATAAATAAATCACAAAATATAGTAACTTAGAAGTTCTTTCCAGAATCCTCTCATTCACTTTTAGGTTCAGTTCCATGAAAATTTCTAAAAATATTTTTCATTTTAAAACTGCCAGAACTATAACAAGTTAGGAAAACTTCTATGATATCACCTAAGGATGTCTACCCACCCTTGTAAAACTGGACATAGCACCACTGCCTAGGGAAATGGATTCCACACTCCTTCAAGACCACAAATACTAACCAATAATAATGTGTACTCATATGCATACATGCACACATACACATACACACTCACACATGCTTGCAGGTTTTTGCAATGCTGTGTTAGTGAGTCTATACGCATAAAAAAACTGCCTTAAGATACAAGATCGCCTTTATTAATCATCAAAAGCAACAAGACCGTGTATTTGGCATTTTACAAAATAATAGCAAGAAGAATGCTTTCTACCTGATGGACACTCATCTCATCAAGGCGGATCTGTGCGTACACTCTATCTTTTGCCAAGGCTGTGATGTCACTGTACATTGAGAAAATTAACTTCCTTATCGCCAATAAAAAACAACAATATGATCGGTGAAAGAAAGTTGACAAAAAGAAAAAAGATACCTTCTAGAATATGTATCCAGCAAAGAATCATTATCATCAACAATTGGTATCGAACTAACCTGAGCTGTTATGGTAATCAAAGATGGCATCAGTGCCAAGAAAATGAAATTAAAAACACAATAAAATTAGAAAAAGCATATCTACTGTTAAATGCAACAAAAGGAAAGATTTATGAAAGAATCAGTATCTTTGTCATTCACAATGGATTATGGAAGATGAACAGGAACAATAGTAAAGAAATTTATAACTGCCACAAGTACATAAAAAGTTTGCAATAATCAAGGAGAAAGTAGAAATTTAGGAAATATTTATCTCGCGCATTATAAAGAACATGTCCCTTTAACTGCAAGGAAAAATGATCTTAAGCACACCTCTTTCAGAGATCAAACCAGCATCCCAACAATTCTCCTACACTATCTAAAACGCAAGGAACATTGTCAAAATCGAGAATTAAATTAAACTCTCCTGTTAATCAACATGAAAATTAAGTATGTGGGCAAAACAAAGATATACCCAATAATTTTGAGAAAGTAATGGAATGAGGCACACAGATCCTGTAGTTGCTTGGAGAGAACAGATGGGAATTCTAGCCCTCTTGCCAACCGACAAATATCGGGTAAAAGGATCAAACACCCCTACGGAACAATCAAATCACTTCACCTCCCAGAATGAAACAGTAGAGCAAAGAAATCAAGTTGATCATTCATTTTAAGGTATTAAGAGAGGCATGCACATGACACAGACTCACTCCCTCCCTCTCCACAAACACATCTAAAATATCTATAACAATCATTCCAATGTTTAACATCACTTTCAAAGGTTACTGCTTATACATGCTCAACGTGCATGTTTCAAGTCCTCAACATGCACAGGTAGATACTAATATGAATGGTTCAGAAAAAAAATTTAAGAACAGCCATAGATAAATACTTCTCAAAATATAAAAGAAACCATCAGCAGCTAAGTTTCTATTTTCATGAAAGATTAATTAGACAGATGAACAAAAAAAGTAATGTTCCAACATCTATCTATAAATTAAATGCTAAACAAACAATTATGAGCTGAACCACTAGCGTTTACAGCGTTTCTCAAAAGCAGAATTCGACCTCTGACTAGCAAGTTAAGGGAGATCCAAACGATGCAAACAAAAAAAGAGAGCAGAGAAAAATATGGAAAAAAAACAAGCTCTAAAGACTCTAAAACACTCCGCATGCATATTTTTTCATAAAGAAAAAGCAAATCGGCAACTAAAGTATTTATTTTCACAATGGGGTGGCTGAGGTCAAAAAGACAGTTGCAGAGGAAAATAATATTCAGGCATCAAGACAAAATGCTAAGCAAAAGAAATGTCAGAGCTGATTGTTACTGATTATGAGTCGTATAATGTGAATCTATAGCATTCAGCATAAAGCAGAGAATCCACCTTGAACTAGCAAAGCTAAAGCGGACCCGAGTGATGCATTCGGCCTCAACATTGCCAGTGGGCGACCATTTGTTTCCCCAAGTCTAGGAACCCACGTCCCTAAGGGGATTGTGCATATTGGTTGTTGTAGAATAGGCAAAGAATTAGAAGTGTGTCTAAAGTGCCTGCAAATACCTGAAATAAATAAATAGGACTGAAGAAATGTTCTAGGCCATGGCTAACAATTAAATTGAACTGGAGCAAATCAAGTATTACTTACATGTCAGTATTCCTGAGAGGGATGCAATATGGAGTAGCTGTGGAAAAGATCCATCTCGAAAAGGAGAATGGATAATGGGAACTGTGGCCACACCATTCTGCAATATCTTTACAGCTACATCTTTCAATGAATCATAGGCACCAGCCTAAAGAAAATAACAGCTTCAGTGCCACTATTATATGACGGCCACCTCAAGATTCATAAAACATAGATAACATGTCTAATATATGGATTTACAAGATAAAGAAGAAAGAAGGTATAGAAATGCAGGAGTGCATTAGCCTTTTTACATATCATTGCGCTTACAATCATGTTATATTCGTTGATAGTTGCCTAAATAATGTTCTTCATGTCATTGACCAACTTTAGCGCTAATAGACAGTACTGTTTTTCATTCCTATAGTTCATGTTGTTATGTACAAGTAGTTATGAAAAATGAGTAGTTAGCTAATTATTCATCTAACTAATATGGATTATATGATGCAATCATAGTCAGCGCATATAACATGTGTAAATATAGAAGTCCTTCGACAACAATATAGAGTCATGACTTTTTTTTAAGGCCTACATGCAGGATGGCAAAAAAAAGGACAATAATAATCGGCAAATTCTAGATTACAGAGAATAAAAAAGTGGATAAGAATAACATCTAAACAGTTTGGATAGCAATAGAAGTTCTGTTTTGAAAACAATCATACAATCTCTATGATTACATAGAGGATAGTAAGACGCGTAGAAGATATTGAGTCAAGGCTATCAAGATAGCTCAAGAAAATGACACAAAGCAGGGAGCAAATAATTTACCACAAAGTTACTTGTCATGTGTCATGTGTCATGTGTCATGAGTATCAATTACAAGATCTTTGACAGTAAACTGAGTAACGACCAGACAAAAAGAAAGGCCAAAGTACAGGATGGAAAAAAAAAAGAAAATTAGTACAGAAGGTCCAAGAAAAAGGTGGATACAAACAATATCTGAACAGTTTCGATCATAGATTCATAGTAGAAGCTCTTACTTGTAGGAAAAAAATATCTGAGTATTAACTAAGTACCAAAATGTTTGTGCAGAATATAAGTACCAGAGGTTTCTTTTTCATCTATTTACCAGGTCCCCTTCAGTATGGGGCCTATGGGGTCATATCATCTGATATATGCTACTTGCGATCGAACACCCTCAGCAAATGTGGGATTTCCCTATGCAATCCAGAAATAGTGATCAATGTCTCTGGTTGAGGATTGAGAATTGAGAAATGAAATGGCTCCAGTTTCAGTCATATGTCCTAGACAGGACTCGCAATTAGCCTGGACCTGTATGTGTCGCCTACATGCTTGATGGCCAGGACGCTAGTTTTCAGTCGTATGTTAAGTAGAAATAGAATTTTTTATATGCTTCCACCAAACATGCCATGTGCTGGCACTCTGATAAATTAGCAACTCACAATAAGCTGATATATGACAAGAGGGGAAAAGGGAATGTAAACTTCAAGCACCAAACTTTATCAACCTACATAAATTATGACATAAGATGTCGTAATTTTTCATCTAACCTGTAAATTGCAGATTAAATGTGAAGCTTAAAACTGCACATAAACAAATTAACGAAGCATAGCTGCATCATCCAAAACCACTTACGTGAACTAGACGCTTTTCAATTGGTCTTCCGTGTTCGTCAACTTGTCCATAAAGTAGTTGTCTTCCTTCTTTCCAAGCAGATATTGTGTGCGTCTCGAGTTCTTCTTGTGTCAGATTTGATCCATGGTTTCCAAGCTGCAATTGGTAAAACTTGGCTAAGTTATACATCAAGCACCCATCACACCAACATGTGGACTCACTAACATCCCTCTAAACCCACACACTCCTCTACGCCCCACACACACACCAATCATAGAAAAATAACATGTGTTCTAAAATATAAAACATTCATTAGAAATCTTATCAATGTCAAAACATAAAATGCTTTCACATAAATAAAAACAAGATGCAAACTTTTTACCTCCCTCAAAATTAATATGAAGTCCAACGGACTGAGTACTCCAACAAATTGTTTCTTGTAAGAGTCCCACAAAGGAGCCACAGGAATTCCCTGTAAAAATATCAGTTTCAGAATGAGCTTAAAATGTACTAGGAAAAATAACATAGGTACAAATAGCTAGTCCCTTGCAAAGTTTAATTCCACGAAATCACCATGTGCTTCAAACATATAGCATGTAAAAAAGCAAGGTGATGGACATAAACAGAATTAATTAAACTATGTTAGGAAAGAACTAGACAAATTCACTCAAGTGGCCAAAAAATCTGCAGCGGTTTAAGCCAATGTTCAAAAATGTGATTTATACAGCAGCATACATGACCCAATGTGCCTATGTGGCAGAAAATTGGATGCATACTGTTTACTGACATTATGAAATCAAAAATATTAGCAATGAACACATTAAATATGTGGTCGCAAAATCATTATGTGCCTGCATATGCAGGCCCATAAAGAGTGGCGACTATTGATGGTATGACTTTCAACTCAATAACTATTCCCTTTCACGACTGCTATATATAGTTCTCTCTCTTTCCTTATTCTAGTTATTTCTTCCCAATTCCTTCTCTCTTTCCTTATTCTAGTTTCGTCTTCCCATTTCCTTCAGCGGTGACTATGTGGTATGAGTTTTGACCCAACACCTCTTCCATTTAGGGAAATGTTATATATATTTATCTCTCTTCTCTTATTCTAGATTCCTGTTCCCATTGCCTTTCTCTCTTGCCTCTATACTTGAACTGTTTAATGTAAAATATGTTCTTTGATTTTGAATACTTTGTGTTATGTTTTACATATGATATTTGTCAATGTCTTAGTGTTTATGCACAATTTAGGTACAATGAATATCTGCAAATACTTCGACAATTAATTTCCTACTAGTCTTTAATCCCATATCCATTTCTTGCATTACCTAGTAATTATCGTGTGTATGTTTGCTAATGGATTGGTTTATGGATATCACCATGTCATGTCAAATTTAGGATTCTAATTTAACACTTGAGTTATTCACTTGTTTGCATATTAACTTGCTCATTTAGTGTGCTTACATGATATTTACAAGAAAACTTGATAAATTTTTTTTGTTTTATTTTCCTAGTTGCTAATTGGATAGACATTCATTATGGTTTTACTTACTTCAAGTGGTCCTCTATAATCATTTATCATTTCTTTCGCATGGCACACTCATTTATCAGTGTTTAGACCTTCCAAAGATATCTGTCAGTCGGCCTCATTACGCTTGTCCTTTTTCTGATACTTCAATGTGACACAGGTAAAACATGCAGCAGCACATGTGCAGTATATTGAGTGTAAAGATTAATGTGTCAGCAAATTCACATACTGCTACATATTGCATACTGTAAGATGCATTAAACTAGCAGGCTGTTCATCCAAATAACTTTGCTTATGGAGCAACTCTAAATTGAGAAGGCCCAAACCATTTTGTACTGGGCCACCAACATGACATCAACCAGTGATATAATGTTTCCAAGCAAAAGCACCTATCAGGAAAAAGTGGTCCTGCCATAGACCCTTGAAAGTCAGTTGATCAGTGATTGAACTCCACTGCTTTGTCTTGCAACTTCCATTCAACATGACATATAGCATAGAACATTGTTTTACGAGTGTAAAGAAATTGGAAATAGGACAGTTTGTTGTATCATGCATGAAATTGCATTCATCTCAGAACAGTTAACAATATATGCCAAAGGAAATGTGATCCCTTGATTTGGTGGATGGTTATAATTAAGCATGCCTGCCGGTTTACTATAAGTTAGCATCAAATGCATGAATAATTCTGTGACAGTCAGTCAAGCAAAGATAGAGAGACTAATCCAAGTGCAGAGAAGATAGACTAATCCAAGTGCACTGACTTAGGTTACCCAAACACTTCATCCTGGCTCCCGTATCCGTATCCGACACTTCCTGTGTCTGGATTTGTGTCGGACACTCCATAGACACGCATAGCTTTCACTTCATCTCAAATTTCTGCAACTCATTAGACTCGGATCGGGTTCGTTTCAGCCCATACCATGTTCATAAGTATGATTTTAAATGGTGATTTGGATATCTAGTTAAAAAATAAACGGTTTTTCAATTATAATCTACTCAATAAAAAAACATAAAAATGTTATAGGGATTTTAGTTCTCAATACATGTAATAAGAAAAATAATATCGATCTCATATAAATTTTTATTTTCAATAAGTACATATATAGCCATATCCTTGTATCATACATTTTACAAAGTTGCCGTGCCCTGTATTCGCACCAGCATTCGTGTCCGCACCCACACCCGTGTCCGTGCAACATAACACTGACTCTTCATAAAGATGGAAGCAGGATTTACCAGAACCAAGTCAGCTGAACGTAAAAAAGGGTCAAGCCTATATAAGTATTAGGTAGATTAAGAAGGTGTTTGAGGAAAGCTTATTTGTTGGTCAAAATTGCTTTTGCATATTTGCATGTTTGGTGACATATCACAAGCTAGCTTTTCAGCCCAATTTAAAACAGATGGGGTTCCTCGAGTTTTGAAAAACTAGCTTACAAGCTTATCTATAAATAAACTAGTTTGTCCGAGTAAATAACATTTCTACCCATACAAATTTTATAAAAATTTTATCATAAAAAGCCAAAAGCTAGCATAGCTTATAAGGTTCAAAAAATTAAGCTCTCCCAAATACCCTCTAAGTGGAAGTAAAGCTGTTGGGCATTGAGTTAGTGTTATATCAAGTAGAGACAGGTATCTAAGCAAGTTTCTGGGGAATTTAACTTAAACTTCAGAGTGTGTACAATTTAAACTTCATAATGAGAAAACAAAGAGGAAACTGGATCAAGAAAGTAGTCTTTACTGGTGTAGACTCCTAAAATTGGTGACCAAAGCAGAGAAGGCCATAGAAACCAGAAAGGAAGCTGTAAGACAGGTACATGTACCTTTTCAGTCACATAAGCTTTTGAGTACAACAATCAAAATCCTCTAAATCCCCCTAGCCTATAATGACAGTACGTGGAGACGATATAATTTGCTACAACACAGAGTATCCCATAGATCCCCCCACCCAAATACACATAAAAAGTAGGGTTGTGCAATCGGTCAGTCGATTCGGTTTTTGGTCAAATTTGGCCAAACCGAACCGAACTGCCTATCATTCAAAACCAAAGCGAACCGATTCAAGTCGGTTCGGTTTGGTTCGGGTCGGTTTGTTCGGTTTTCACTTAGGTACAAATGTTATGTCCAAATTCAATTTCACCTCTAATTTGTTGACGAAGAAAGAAGTCTCTTACACTTCAATTTATTGAAATTCATAAACTATTAAATGTTACTGAATATTACATGTAGAAATCAAAATCTTATTCCTACCAAAGATTACATATATTTTTTTAGAGAAAACTTACATAAAGAATTAAAGTGATCTCAATCTGATAGACAAAATAAATAAAAATATGTTAATAACTTGGATGTTAGGTATAGTTTCTATAAAATTATAAGTTTGATCCAAAAATGTATCAATCAAGGAGAAAAATCAAGAAAATGTTAGAATCAACATTATGATTTAAGTTTCTTACCTCCAAAGTGGATTGGTCCAAAGTAGAAGAAGCGAATATGTAATAGAAAGGGATAGAGAACTAGAGATAATGAAAAGCCCTAGAATTGAAGAGGACACTATTGTTGGGGTATTTTATCGCTATCAGGTTGCGTGAGAGAAAAATATATCAAGCTGCAGAGAAGTAACTCTATGAACTACAATGGGTCGGGTTTAAGCGGATGTAAATAGCAATTAGAATGGGTAATACAATTCGATAGGTTTGGTCAGTTCGGGTTGAAAAAATTTCAACCCAACACGAACCGAACTCTAATAAAAACCGAACCGAACCGTTAAATTTCGGCCGGTTCGGTCGGTTTGTTCGGTTTGAACCGAACTATGCTCACCCCTAATAAAAAAGCACAAAGTAAGTGCAAAAACCAAATAACATGCATTCTGAAATAATTATATAAGGAAAAAATTGCTTAAGTATCTTGGGTGATTACATTCTAGAAAAGCAGACAAAGAAAACCAGTTACAGGACCCGTTTGTCCTAAAAGCCAATTTATGCAAGATGGTCAAGAGCTGGCTCGAGGTGATAACTGCAATAGGTTTGCTTTAGTAGAAGCAAATATCGTGCTGCACTCTTACGCTCTACTAGGCAGTTTGGTGGAGGCAAAGTTTCTCTGGATTTTCCCCTCACTGTGCTAGCGTTCCATTGTCTACAAGTGTTGTGAGATAAGATGGCGCTAACCTAAATTCTAAGAAGTATTTGAAGTTCACGAACAAAGGACGCTATATATATACACTTCAAACTCATTAAAAAAACTAAAAAAAGAAAAACTTTCAATATACAAGAACCAGCATGTTGCTCAAAAGGAAAAAAAAATGCACATACAAAGTAGATCATTCTAAATATGAGAAATAAACTTCAGCAGAGAAATTGTCACCTTGAATATATACGTACCTGCTCATATAGGATATGAAAAGCTTGCTTCACAGGTAAATTTACATCAAGAGCAATGACCTAAAATCATACAGCCATAAAGCTAAGCTGAATCAACCAAAATATGGCAATTTCACAACATTCTCCAGAATACAATGACAAAAAAAAACTACTAAGAGAAAATGCTGTTACCTTTCCTGAATCTGGAAGCAACTCATATGCAGTGTATGTTGACAAAAACTCAGATATACGGTGGCAAGAGATCTCTACATCAGCCTCTGAAATCGCCATAGTTGCCTCCTGTGTGGCACCACCTGACAATGCCACCTGTTCATACAAAAAAAACTCTATGAAAAGCCAATAGTTATTCAATAAATAAAGCAAACAAAAAGAAAGGAATCAAGTTGCTTCAACTAAACTATCCATAGAGACGACCCAAATACCACTGCTGACTTCCTCATTAAAAACCATGTATCCAAGTATACCCGTAATTCTTCTGCTCTGTATAACATTATCTTTGTTTGAGAATGGAGGTTCTTTGGGATTTTAGGGAGTGAATGTTAACTGGGGATATTTTAGTGACTGATATGTCACTAGAAACTACAAAAGGGACAAAATTGCAAGACTCATATGAGTTAAGGGACCTAGCAGCAATTCAATGATTTGAGGGAGTAATATCAAGTTATGAAAGACTTGAGGGACCAATATCAAGGGAAAAAGGAACCTACTTCTTATAGATCCCAAGACCCAAACAGTACAACGTACACTTATTCCTCTTTCTTTCACCATCACACCTTACCTGCAGATCTTTCATTTAACTAATAGACTGTCAAACTAAAGGATAAGCATAAAAAGGCATTATAAAAGTCATAAAACGAGCAGAGAAAACCTTATGATGTTTAACTCATAGTTAATGGAACATGGTTCATTCCGGTTCACTAGATGGGTACTTGAACATGGTACGCATCTCATTAGGAATTGGGTACGAGGGGGATAGGCTTATACGGTACACAAGGGAACGCGGTATGCTTTAGGTTTGGTTCTTAAATGCTAGTTGATATCAGTCATGGTAAAAGAACCTTCAAAATCATACTGCAATTAAGATATGCATACTTTATTTGCTTAATTTCCCACGTTTTGTTGTTTTTTGACTTTATTCTTTTAAAAAGACTTATTCTTCTTAAAAAATTTACTGGTATGAATTCTAAATCGGGTCGCTGGAGTAAATTAGGTCTTGTTCCATGCGAATCTGGGACGATTGAACCCAGCTCGTGATTCGCTATAGCGTATCACATTCCCAACTTCTATGGTTAACTAATATTTTTTGACAATAACTTGAGCACAAATCATGTATCCACATTAAAATTCAAAATAAATGTAGATAAATATAAATCAAAATGTAGGCATTATGTATATATTTTTTCCAAATATATAAAGCACATAAACACACATCACATATTTACAGAAGTCTTAGCGTAATGCACACAAGTTTAAGGAGTAGTAAAGCAACAAACATAAGATTATGTATATTATCTTACCGCACACTGAAAGACGTCATTTTCTACATCCATGTTCATCCTATTTTCATGTGTATCGGTGCCCAAACTTGGTGGAACAGGGTCTAGCTCTCTGGTTAGGAGCAAAGTGTTCACTATTCCATAATTTCCGGTCACATGGGGTTGACGCTCATCATGCCTCCACTCACCGTCAACATAGAACTTGTACTGCACGAGTTGGCAAGATAGAAAAGGACCCATAAGAAAAAAGTTTTACGGAATTTTTAAGCATCTTTCAAACATTTAAAATGTCCAAAGCAAAAAAAACAAAAACAAACAAAGTATTCAAAGTTAAAAAGTGTCACAAAAGAAGCAATAATGTCTGGCAATGGTAAGTAAACAGAAAGGGGCACATAAATTGGAAAGTTACACCAGTTTCTTTTTTTTCTAAATGTTTGGCGCTTGGAAAATGACTGGAAAGTATTTGGAAAGTGAAGCTTTTTAGTCTCTTTCACTTCTCAAAAAAATTTCTGAGAAAGTGGATAGAAAATGAAGAGAGAGGAGAGAGAAATTAACTTTTAATTATTTTTAAAATCCTCTCCATTTTCCAAATCCATTGGTTTTATCTATTTATTTTGACTCTCGTGGCCACTTCCCACCTATTTCAGCTGTTTCGGACACAAGAGTCTTGGCAAGATTATAATTCGGCTTTACCCCAATAAAGGCATAATAAACAATTGAATCAAGTTGCACTAATCAAGAATCTAACACCTTTTAACATATTATCAAAGTCAAGGATGAAATCACAGAGTGACCACCACTCAACTTTTTACCTTTGAGCCAAGTTAAGCATGCCATAGACTTCAGGTTGATTGTGTTCAAAGTTTAATTTGTGCAAGTATTCTGTTTTGTGAGCATGTTTATTACTCCCATTTATTTGGTCTTAACTTTTCAACAATAGATTGTAGACAATTATGACACAAAACATATGTATAACATGCTTTTAAGCTATTCTATGTTGATTACTGGTTGTGCTATGATTCAGAATGGTTAGTAGCCGTTCCACCAAAAAAAAAGCCTGGAAAAAGAAAATCAACATAAATTTTAAATTTCAATAAATAAATATAGAGAAAGTGGATGTCATGTCAGCCATCACCTCAACTTTCCATTCTTTCACTTTCAATTCTCCAAACAAATTCTTGCAAATAGAAAGGAGAAAGTACCTTCACAAGAAAGAACTTCCAATTAAATTTTACTTTCCATTTACTTTCCAGTTGCCAAACATGCCCTAAGAGTAAACCTATATTCTTACCTGGTGAAAACCGGGAGTCACGCCACATATAGCCTGAAAAACGTTAGGGCAACCCTCCACAGGCGACATCAATACAGGTTCAGACCACCTAAAAGCAAGCATGTGACATATCAACTTAGAATTTTAATTTATGTTAAAGTACAAGAAAAACATAAATAAAAATAGACAAGATGGTTGAACAAGTTTGATTTGTTGGAAATAATATACATTAATGTACTTCCTTATGGGTATTACTTGTGGAAAATTTACGACATACAAATACGTCTTCAGAACTCCTGACATTCTGGACAGTATGAGGTAACTATTGCACATAGTTCACCCAACAAGAATGCTATACCGATATGATTATATGAAAACAATATCAATTACAAGTTGGATGAGAATATATGAGCGAGCAACTTCCTTGTAAGTGATTGACAAATAAGGAAGGGCCTAAGGGCTCGTTTGGTACGCGGGAATAAGTGAGAATGGAATGCAATTCCAACTCTTTTTTCCCGCGTACCAAACACGATGTATTTTTAGATGTTAGAATTGAAATTCTCACTTTTTATCAATTCCCACTTTATGTGGGAATTGTCATTCCCAACCATTTAACAAGGAATTGATATTCCCACTTAAGTGGAAATAAAAATAATCAAATAAATTCCAATTATACCCTCCTTAAAAGATACAACTAGATATAAATTCCTATATGAAAATTATTTTTATAAAAAATTAACTTATCTTAAGCTACTAGTACAAATATATAAATAAAATATAAGCATGAATATAACTTGCCCAAGTTCCAATATACAAACATCGTTCCTAAGTAAATTTATATCACTGACCTTGCCGTAGTTCCAATATATTGTGATATTATTTTTTAACAAATCTTTGATACCGTTCATTCATTCCTAAGAAGTATATTAACGCGGACCTTGCCTTAGTTCCAATATCTTTTAATAAACTATATATACTTTGGAGTGACAAACTAGTTTATCATTTTGCAATTTTAAAACTTAATATTTTGATACTTTGATGGTTGTCCAATTATTTTGCTTGTACTATTTTATGCATATTTTGATTAGAATTTGGATATTTCTAATAATTTGTCGAATGTGATAGTTTATGCATATAAAATTTTAAACTATAGATACTATCGTTTATATTAATTTTGACATATGGATGATAAATTGCACTTATTTCCCTTTATTTTTCCCCCCGAACATGAAATCTCAAATTTTCTTTTATCAGGAGATGTTGTGAAGAGTGCCCAATTATATACAATATCTCTTATTAGGTATTCTTCTCTTCACTAACGTACAATAAAGTTAGTAACATTAGCTGCTCGTACAAATAATAGACATGTAGCACTAGAAGTTAGAAAAGTGAAATTATAATTATTTATAATTAAAAATATTTTCTATGAAAATTATTTTTTAATTTGTAAGCCAATAGTCCGAAATTGTTGCCGAAACGGTGTGCCAAAATATAACTATTACATGAAAATTTATTTCTCTAAGGAAAAAATATCGTTTCTATAAAACTTATTTTTCTAAAAAAATAAATTATTTAGTCATTTTTAAAATATTTTTAATTTTTTTTAAAATTTTGTGTTTTGGTAAGGGCATTATTAGAAAACTAAATTTTATTCTCACTTGTGAACAAATGATACCAAACGTGAGAATAAGAATAAGATTGTCATTCCCGTTTCATTATCTAAACGCATCCAAACATGAGAATGAGAATGTGCATTCCATTCCCACGTCTATTCCATTCCATTCCTACCTTCTTTCCATTCTCACTTGACTTCATTCCAGCGTACCAAACAAGGCGTAAGTGTACATAAAGGCGACTAAGGCAGGATATTCGATTTGACATGAAGTACATGCATCCATATGCAACTGATAAAATCACATGTAAGGGCTTTTCATGTCAAAAAGGATTGATTATGGAGCACGAATCATCATCCATCCAAAATGTATTTAATCAAATGTTACAACTCCCTACAAATATGATCTCAACCATTTACGACTTCTTGTTGAACTTCCGCCAAGTAAATCCTTTACAATCGAGGAATCTCAACAAGATCTTAACAGACAACAGAGATAATGGATAGTCTTTGTTTAGCTTTTTTTACAGCAGCTCTTACGTCTAATGAGCAAACCTCTAAATCCTCCCGAGAAGAGAGCCAGTCTAGATTAAGAGGTTAAATGATAACTTTTGAGGTCAGATTTTTACAACAGCTCTTACATCTAATGAGCAAACCTCTAAATCCTCTCGAGAAGAGAGCCAGTCTAGATTAAGAGGTTAAAGGATAACTTTTAATATAAATGAAGAGGTTAGATTTTTACAGCAGCTCTTACATCTAATGAGCAAACCTCTAAATCCACTCAAGAAGAAAACCAGTCTAGATTAAGAGGTTAAATGATAACTTTTAATATAAATGAAGAGGTTAGATGATAAAACTAGTGTAGATGATATTTATGATAACTACTAGTATATAAAGAAATAAGATACAGTACACAATATTATGCAGTTTAAGGAGGTGTTATCTTACAGCCACTTGCATCGTACAATATAATGTTGACATGTATTAATATATTATATAATACAAAACAGTGGCATATTGAAAAGTAAAATATTTATGATGCTCCTTTAGTTAAATTTGAAGAAAAACTAACTCAAGAGCTCTTCGCTTTTAAGGAGATTATTTATCATGTAAGATGGTATTCCATAATAAAAAAAACAATGTAAAGTTATGGTAGCGCGACAATGATTGTACTATAGACACCACACGAAAACTAGGTTAGGTGAAATATTTAACGGAGAAAAAGAGAAGGTTATTTTTGACATAATAGAATACATATTGAAGTGCAAATTGGACAATACAGGGACAACATTTCAAAATAAGCAATCACTGAAGAGTAACATTGCATTGCACATGTTCAATGCAATCAGTGAAATTCAACTAAGGGTTGCTAATCCGATTAGTTGCATTGACACATCTGTGTGTGTGTGTGTGTGTCAAAGCTGCCATGACTACACCTTAAAAAGCTCAAATAGAACAATGCATAAAATACCATGTCAATTCCACCTAACCCATGCAGCAAACAAATGCAACTGCACATTTCTTACTTTCAAGCTGTAAAAAATGGAAAACACAAAAAGAACAATGCAAAAGAAATAAAAAAAGAAATTATATCTGAAGCTAAATCAGACACCAACCTTGTAAAAGTGCCAGAGACGAAAACTCTTCGCCCTCCGTAAGGCCATACAAACCGCGTAGGGACTAGCACAACTCCACTCGTGTCTTGTGAATTATTCGACCCCGGAAAAAACATTTCTTTCAGATTTCTAACTTACCCTTGGACTCAAACAGCCAGTTTCTACCCCAATTCTTCAGTTCAACACAATAACTCATGGAAGAACGAAAACAGAAAGTCCCATTGCAGTCAAAAGGAACCCTAACCCTAATTTGAGCTTCCTCGGGCAACGGGATCCTCTTCCACCAGAGGTTCCCTCACTGATCGCTCATTCCAATCTCAGAAGATTAAACAAACCCTAATTCACATCCAATTTCAAGAATCCAACCTAAGAATCCAGTTTTCCGCCCAAACCAGCTCAAATTCTTATAGATCTCGGCCCAAACGCTAACTTCCGCAATTCCCCCAAAATTAAAATTTCCTTTTGCAAAATCGAAAATGAGATACCCTAATTCGACGCCAAAACAGCATAAAACTGACCAAAATTTTCTCGCCGGAAGCGCGCCGTTTTCTGAGCGATTGGTATTTTTTGGATCGCAAATAAACGAAGGAAATAGGAGTAGACGAGAGATTAAATAAAAAGAGAATTTTTTTAAAAAAAGGGGAAAGACAAATAATTGGGTCCATTCTTTGATTATATATCGACTCAAGTCTTGGCACGTGTTATGCACGTGCAACAAATTGTTTGGTGGATAAAGTGCACTTTAATCCTGAGAGTTTCAGACTTTTTTACTATTTTAAATTGGTTTGATTTATCCAAAACTTCAAGACCTTTATGCTTAACTTTATTTGTGGCTTATCTCCAGAGAGTTTAATCATTGAAAATTAAATGTTCGATATTTTTATTGTAGATTAATCCATGGGAAAATTATGTCAATGCCTCAAATTTTAGAATCTCCTGTGATTATCCCTTTAATATTTTTCTCATGTGATTCGGCCCTTAAAATTTAAATATATGTGATTCACCCCCTTGGTCATTATTCTGTGCCAACTAAGCACAGAAAGAGAAAGAAAAACAAAAAATCTCAAAATAATTTTATCTTCTCTATTCTTTTTTCTCCAGATCTAATGATTATGACTCCTCCTCTCCTCCTCTCTCCTAACTCATCTCCTTCCTCCTCTCTCTCCCTCTTCCTCCTTATTCTCGCAGACAACAACATCCCCCTCTGTCACCATCGAACTTAAGTGTACGCTCCGGCCATATTGTTAATCTAAGAATAATATTATTTAGAAAAACTCAATATTATTCGCTTTTTTTCTCCTACCTATTTTCCCCACTCTCTTTTTCTTTTCCCCTCAAAACTAAAAAACCCAAATTTGGCCGGCAATGGTAATAGTGAAACCCTCGAATTCATCGAAGTTCTCATCGAAGGATCCGTCAAACAACAAATCAGTCTCTGACACTAAATGTGAAGATGTGGCGGAGGAGGCGGTGCTGGAGGAGGACGAAGAGGAGGTCGATGTCGTCGCAAGTTCTATAAGAACTCTAAGTTATTTGTTTTTTTAAAGAAATTTATAATTTCTGTTTGAACATCGTGAAAAGATAAAATTTAAAGAAATATCGGCTAAATATATTATTTTTTATAATTTTTTATGTTAAGTTCAAGTCCAAGTAAGTTTTCAGATTTTATGATGTGAAGTTCAATGTTTATGACGTTAAGTCTAATGAGTTGCAGCTTAAATCTAGGGATTTTATGTTAAGTCATTTTGGGTTGAATAATAAGCCTAAAGGTAGAATCTTAATTGCAATTGATTATATGTTACGTCTCATTTCTAGTATGTTAACTGCAAATGGGAACATGTTAAGTCTAAAGCGTTCTATGTTAAGTCCAATTTCTAGTATGTTAACTGCAAGTCGTTACATGTTAAATCCAAACATGTGTATGTTAACTCTAATTTATAATATCTTAATTGCAAGTCATTACATGTTAAGTCTAAAGTGTTGTACGTTAACTCTAATTTGTAATTAACTGCAAATCATTACATGTTAAGTCCAAAGCGTTGTATGCTAACTCTAATTTGTAATATGTTAACTGCAAGTCATTACATGTTAAGTCTAAAGTGTGGTATGTTAAATCTAATTTGTAGTATGTTAACTTCAAGTCGTTACATGTTAAGTCTAAAACGTGGTATGTTATGTTTAATTTGTGTGTTGTCAAGTCTAAAGATGTTCAATGTTAACTCAAATTAGACTTAATATGTAACAAAATACACATAATATTAAACAAATTAGACTTGTTATTCAACCCAATAGACTTAATATACAAGCTATTGGACTTATTATTTAACCTAATAGACTTAACATAAAAGCCATTAGACTTCACTTCCAACTCATTAGAGTTAATATTCCACCTCGGACTTGAACTTAACATCAAAAATTGTATGTTAAGTCTATTGGGCTGAATAATAAGTCTAATTTATTTAATATTATATGTAATTTGTTACATGTTAAGTCTAATTTGAGTTAATATTGAATAGATTTAGACTTGACAACACACAAATTAGACTTAACATAGCATACTTTAGACTTAACATGTAATGACTTAAAGGTAACATACTAGAATTTAGACTTAACATAGAATGCTTTGGACTTAATATGTAACAACTTGCAATTAACTTGTTATGGTTTTCACTCACTCGAGATACAGATATTTACAAAACGATACGATAAGAGTCCTAGCAAAACAAACGCAACCCTTTGGCTGACTCCCACAGTCGTCTCTCGGCCTTAGGGGAAGGAAAGACATAGTCAACTCTAAAGAGTTCTAGACATTCGACTCCTCAGTCTACTAACAAGTCATTGGCTCTTTATCAAGGGAAGCTCAAGGCACAACATATGGTCGAATCCTTTAGTGCAACTCGACCATCATGCTAATTACAAGACCTTAGTACCTTATTAGGGATAAATCCAAAGGCACAATCACAGAGGCCTCGGCCCCACCGACTTATCAAGCTGACTCTCTGGTGTCGACACCAAAGGCGATATTGGTCGGCACAAGATATCCTGACCTCCCAAACAAGTTGACATCTTTATATCAACTCGAAAGATGGTTATTAGTTGAGACGAGACGATATTCCAACCAGTCGGACAGGCCGACACTCCTGAGTCGACACGAAAGGCGGTGTCGGTCGATCCTACTTAGGGCACTCGACCACTCACTGGGTATTTCTGAGAAATGACTGGAGGGACATTCCCTGCTAACGATTAAGTTGAGAACTCGGTCCCAGCCCCAAGCCTCTATCCTAGAGCATATGTCAACATCTCAGTCCACCTCGGACAAGCCTTATCTAGATTTTGGCCTGATAGGTCTCCATGACTTGTTAGCTCAATCACTTCCCAGAAAATACGGAGACACACTCTCCCATAGTGAAGTAACTTTCCCTCAAGTTGCCAACCGACACCTGTAAGGCGAGGGATGATTCAACATGCCAGTATGCCTTCTGCCACACTCTCAATCACTTCCTAAAAAAATATGGAGACACACTCTCCCATAATGAAATAATTTTCCCTCCAGTCGTCAGCCGATACCTGTAAAGCGAGGGGTGACTCGACTCTTAGCCCGCACTCCAACACTGCTTCCCAAGGCTGGGATATAGATGATCTATCTGATCCCAACCAGAAGAGGGGAAAAAAGACCAAGAAGAAGAGAGGTAAAGACTTCCTCCTCCTGACCAAAAAAGGGGGAGGATCATCTCTAATGCATATTGCCACCTTAAGAACCAAATCGGTTCTAGACCTTCCCCTTCCCTACTTGAATTTCACTAACTTGACCATCGGAAGAACCACTGGGGAATCGGTCCCCGCCCTCTCACGGGTTTTTCTTGTATGTGCAGCGTGGACACCAAGCCCTCGTTCAAGAACCAGGCATAAAAGTCGAAGAAAGAGAGCGGGCCCTCTATCATCCTTCATCATCCCGCAACCATCCTATCTAGATTATTATTTGATATTAAGCATCAATAGTTTGGCGCCCACCGTGGGGCTACTCTTCTTTTTCAAGAAGACATACCAAGTTCTGATCAAGGGTCTGATTCTACTCACCCTAAAGAACAACATCGGAGTTACATCATCTAAGCTAAATAAAGTCAGAAGTTGCATCATTCAAGCTAAAGAATGTTAGCTTTGGCTAAGAGGAACCAACATAGGTGTAATCCTCAAAAGTCTCAGCAACTTATCTGGGGAATGTTTGCTAAGCACACCATCAATTAGATGGTAGAGCAATCTTCAATCCCCCTAGAAAATCCTCCAGTATAAGACCTACCATAAGGGTAGTTGTTTTTCTTAAAAAGTGGCTTTGGCTTCTAATCACCATCACAGGATGAATCTGGCCGGAACATAGGATTTGATGAGGCCAAATATCACTGAAGCTCCAACAGCTGATAGCTCATATGAGCATAGGAGCAGTGATTAAGTCTATGATAGGCGCCTGGGACCATGAGGACTCTTCGAAAAGGAAACTCTCCTATACCAGGGGTGGATTGCGGGAAAAACTTAGGGCCTGTCAGCTGGTTATTCTCAGGAAGAATGATCTTGACCCTTCAACCAACGTCTTCACCACTAAAGTTGCCTAAGCTCTGATGGTCGAAGCATGTGACATGCATGATCCCCATAAGGAAGAGTTCTCCATTCACAACATGGTCCAGTCCCTAGTACTCCCGAAGCTCCTTTAAGAAAACCGCCATGGTTTGTCATTTTTGGGGAGTACAATACCGGCTGGGGGGGTCTCTCTCCAAGAGAGTTTCCACTACAAAAGGTACCATGTAGCTTCTGGTCGTGCCCCAACCCTTGTGAACCCGACCTGGAGAATGCTATTCAATATGATTTATGGCGTCTGGGTAGTTCCTTTTGCCAAAAGTCGGCATGCCAACCTTCCGCCTCTAATGCCTTACTGAATATTCAGACTCAAAAGGAACCTTGGCTGATGAGATGGCAAATAGAGTTTTGACTCATCTTCGTTTATCAACAAGTCGTCCGCTATGAAAGCAAGTAAAATCCAACTAAAAGAGGTTCTATACTGGCAGCCTCATCCACTACAAAATTGCCTATGAAGCAGAGCCAAAGCAAGATCACAAGTGGTTCAACCCCCTTTGAGCATCAAATGCCTGCAAAAGATATTTTTCATGATAATGTAAAATACAGAACTGATAAAATGTTATTCAATATGAATTAACTCTGATCTCGTAGGGATCAAGGCTTCACTATGGCTAAAGACCTAGGCGTCATGTAAGACCTAGGTATCCCCAACAAGCCCTTGGCACCTTATCAGGAATAAACTCAAGGCTCTCACAGTTGTCTCTTAACCTTAGGGGAAAGAAAGACCTAGTCAACTCTCAAGAGTTCTAGACATTAAAAGAGCAAATAATATTGAGTTTTTCTAAGTAATATAACCCCTAGATTAACATATGGCCGGAGCGTGCATCTAAGTTCGATGGTGACGGAGGGGAATATCGGTGTCTGAGAGAACAAGGAGGAAGATGGAGAGAGGAGAAAGGAGATGTGTTAGGAGAGAGAAAGAGAGGAGGAGCCATGACCATTAGATCTGGAGAGAAAAGAATGAAGTAGATAATAACACTTTGGGAATTTTTGTTTT